GCCGAGTGATACACTCAGGGACAACTGTGGGTGCTCAGGGAAGGACTGGCTCAGGAGAGTTAGAGGGGCTGTGTCCAGAAGTGTGTGGGTGCCCACAGGTGTGGGGGGCTGGAGCCCTAAACTCTGGCTTTGAAGACAGTGGTCAGGCAGGAAGGGCATCATGTGGTGTGGAAATGGCAGCAGCTGAGGTTTAAGTGGGGAGGCTGGCTTTGAGGAGTCCTGCCTGAGGGTTTACAGAGCCTCACCTGTCCCCAAGGTGGCAGAGCAGCTCATCAACCCGTTTGGAGAGGACGATGATGATTTTGAGACCAACTGGATTGTCGATAGGAATTTGCAGGTATGGGGAGAGGGAGAGAGGCCATACCATGGACCTTCCCCACAGTGGACCCAAAGAGAGGACCCCACTGTTCTGTAGGGAGGTCTCACAGTGAATGATCACCCCTTCCCCTCCTCGCTCCTGCAGCCATTCACTCACAGGATTCTCACCTCAATCTCTGAGGCTGCAGGCAGGCACCCATCTCCCCATTTCACAGACAGGGAAACTGAGGTCCAGAGAGAGGGAGAGATTCCTCCAAGTCATCAGGCACGTACAAGGTCCTGCCTGGGATGACCTTTCTGTGGGACTTCTTCTGCCCCTGGTGACCAGGTGTCCCTGCTGGCTGTGGATGAGATGCACCAGGACCTGCCTCGGATGGAGCCAGACATGTACTGGAATGAGCCTGAGCCACACCCCCCCTACACAGCTGCTTCCGCCCAGTTCCGTCGAGCCTCCTTTATGGGCTCCACCTTCAACATCAGGTATGGCCAGTGCCAGGGGGCTGGGTGGGAAGCCCCTCCTAGTGCAGGGCCTAGGAACTTAGAATAGCACTAGGTAATACATACTGGGTGCCTCAGTAAGTGTCAGGCACTGTACTATGCTCTTTATAAATAGTAACTATTTTTTCCTCCCAATAATTTTGGTTTGTTATCCCAAGTGTTCAGATGATTAAAGTACAGGTTCAGAAACAGTAAGTTGCCCAAGGCCACATAGCTAGCAAATGGTGCATCTGCTACTCGAAGGACAGCCTGTGATCAGTGATGCAGTGGAAGGTTAGGACCTGGCTCCTGTCATCCAGAACTATGTTTTCTTTTCTTTTTGAGACAGAGTCTCGCTCTGTCACCCAGGTTGGAGCGCAGTGTTGTGATCTCGGCTCACTGCAACCTCCGCCTCCTGGGTTCAAGTGATTCTCCTGCCTCAGCCTCCCTAGTAGCTGGGATTACAGGTGCCCACCACCAGAACCGGATAATTTTTGTACTTTTAGTAGAGACGAGGTTTCACCATGTTGGCCAGGCTGGTCTCGAACTCCTGACCAGTAATCTGCCCGCTTTGGCCTCCCAAAGTGCTGGAATTATAGGTGTCAGAACTGTGTTTTCTGATAAGCTACGGTGCTTGGATGGGAAGTGGAAGTGGGGTTCCCTGGGATGGGGAAGGGGCAGCAAACATATCCTAGCAGGCAGCCAGGCCATCACAGGTACCTCCTGAATTGACTTTGTCCTACCGAGTAAAGGGCTCAGGCCACCCACAGCAGCCAGACTTATCCTCACATAGTCCCACTTCCCTGATTCCATCTGAATCCCTCTTGAGCTGCAGTGGGCTGAAGGGCTATCCCAGCTGGTCCTTTCTCCCCAGGACAAGAGTTGAAAGTGCCTTAGAGTGTTGGGCACATATCAGGGTTCATACTCAAGGTTTTCTTCCACAGTATCCAGTGCTGTTCTCGGCTTGTTCTTTTCTCTTTCCATTTTTTTTTTTTTTTTTTTTAAACGGAGTTTTGCCCTTGTTGCCCAGGCTGGAGTGCAGTGGCACAGTCTCGGCTCACTGCAACCTCTGCCTCCCAGGTTCAAACAATTCTCCTGCCTCAGCCTCCTGAGTAGCTGGGATTACGGGTGCCTGCCACCAAGCCTGGCTAATTTTTATATTTTTAGTAGAGAGAGTTTCACCATGTTGGCCAGGATGGTCTCAAACTCCTGACCTCAGGTGATCCACCCTCCTCGGCCTCCCAAAGTGCTGGGATTACAAGTGTGAGTCACCGTGCCTGGCCACTTGTTCTTTTAAGAACCAAGTATCCTACTGGACTGCAATTGAGTTTAACTAGAGTCTATAGTTTGAGGAAGAGTTGGGAAGGTGATCAAATGAAGGCTGGAGGCTTGCTTAGGTCATAAACATTTCTGGAGGATGACTTTGAGCCCTACATGGTCTGTACCCCAGCAGCTGAAGGTTGTGGGGGGGAAAGCTGAAAACAGAACAATAAAGCATAGACCTTGTCTCCAAGGAATGCGCAATTTACGGAGGGAGCTCAAACCCAAGCCTCAAACTGTGGATACAAGGTACAAAGTACTGGACATCTAGGAAAGGGACAGAACATGGAACACAGTCACCTTTGTCTGCCTGGAGGTGGCTTCCAGCAGGGTCTGGAGCTGGGCCATGGAACATGGGAAGAATCTGAACTTGGGCAAGGGCAGGCCATACTCTGTGGTAGATAAGCTTTCCGTTGCAGGGTAAAGGTCTTGGGCTCCTGGGATGCCTGTTGCTAGGAAGCCAAATTTCCCTTTGTGGATGTCGCTCCCAGTTGGAACTACAAATCCCTGGCATTGCCCAGAGTCACTCATGGGCCTCATCTGAACCACTCATGCCAGGGCACCAGTGTTTCTAACTGCCTGGAGTGGGGGGGTTTTAAAGGGGAAGTGAATGATGAGGAGGGCTTTACATGCCAGGCAGGGGTGGTTGAGGGGGTTGGGTGTTAACTCTGGTCAAGAGGGAGTCAACGAACAGTGAGGTGAGCAGGGCCTGGAGGGATCACCGGGAGGTACAGGATGGATCAGGAGAGAGGTGAGAGCTGGGGTATTGTGAGGAAGATGGTGTGGCCTTGGCTTGGGCCAACCGAGAGAGAGGAGGGGGTAAGAGAGAAGGCCAGGTGTTAGTCCTTTGTCCACTGGCCCAGCCCTGCATCTCCTGCTTCTTTCCAGCCTGAACAAAGAGGAGATGGAGTTTCAGCCCAATCAGGAGGACAAAGAGGACGCTCACACTGGCATCATTGGCCGCTTCCTAGGGCTGCAGTCCCATGATCACCATCCTCCCAGGGCAAACTCAAGGACCAAACTACTGTGGCCCAAGAGGGAATCCCTTCTCCACGAGGGCCTGCCCAAAAACCACAAGGCAGTCAAACAGAACGTTAGGGGCCAGGAAGACAACAAGGCCTGGAAGCTTAAAGCTGTAGACGCCTTCAAGTCTGCCCCACTGTATCAGAGGCCAGGCTACTACAGTGCCCCACAGACGCCCCTCAGCCCCACTCCCATGTTCTTCCCCCCAGAACCATCAGTGCTGTCAAAACTTCACAGTGTCACAGGCATAGACACCAAAGACAAAAGCCTAAAGACTGTGAGTTCTGGGGCCAAGAACTGTTCTGAATTGCTCTCAGGGAGCGATGGGGCCTTGATGGAGCACTCAGAAGTATCTCACGTGAGGAGGAAAACCGTGGAGTTTAACCTGACGGATATGCCAGAGATCCCCGAAAGTCATCTCAAAAAACCTTTGGAACTATCAACAACCAACATACACGCTACACTAAAAGATCACGTGGATCCTTATTGGGCCTTGGAAAACAGGTCTGTCCTCTACCCGAACCAGGGGCACTGTATTGCCCTGTGCCCCACCCCAGCTTCCCTTGCTCTGAAGCTACCCTTCCTCCACAATTTCCTAGGGTTCCATCACTGCCAGAGCACGCTGGACCTATGCCCAGCACTGGCTTGGGGTATATACTTGGCCACCTCCACAGGGGTCCTAGGGAAGTGATCGGGACCTTTTCTCACTTCACCCAAGAGCCTGGTATCAGCAGGAAGACTTCTAGGGAGCAGGTGAAGGCAGCTGAGGTTGTGCTGACCAGAGCGCTGCTAGAGAACTGTCCCAGGGCTGACAGGCCAGGCTTAGCTGAACAGATGTTATCACTGGCCCCAACTTACTTTGAGCAAGGGTGGCTGACCCAAAACCATGGGGTGGCAGTCAGCTGGATGACAGATGAACACTTCCCCATAACCATTTAGGGTAGTACCCAAGCACTAGTGATGGTGACATTGAGGGTGTCCGGGGCCCTTAGGTCATTTTCTCACTGCCTGGGGCACCTCACCAAAATACTTCACGCTTCCTTGGGGTCAGCCCGAAGCTGTCACAAAATCAGATGTTTCCCTTTATTCCAGATTTTCTGGGCACTTTCACCCAATTGGAAACACCCCATTTCAGCCCCAATCATGAGGGGAGGGTGTATAACTTCCCTTTTCTGGATTCTCAAGCAGTTACTTTCAGTCAGAACACCCAGCTATTATAATTGAAAACTTAAAAGGGCAACAGTTTCAGTCTTGCTTCTAGGGCTAGACAGGAACTTGGCAAACATCTGTGGCTTGTTTAGCAAAGGATGTTATTTCAGAATCTTGTCTTGGGCTGGGTGTGGAGGCAGGCAGATCATGTGAGGTCAGGAGTTTGAGACCAACCTAGCCAACACGAAACCCTACCAAAATAATACAAAAATCAGCTGGGTGTTGTCGCATGTGCCCGTGGTCCCAACTCAGGAGGTTGAGGGGAGAATTGCTTGAACAGGAGGCGGAGGTTGCACTGAGACTGAGCAACTGCACTCCAGCCTGGGCGATGGAGTGAGACCCTGTCTCAAAAAAAAAAAAAAAGGGATCCTCTCAACCTTTGTTCTCCTACTGCAACATTTTAGTATTTGAAATGAAGGTTCCTTCCATATTCACACTGTTAATTCTCTCCCATTCTCACTAGGGATGAAGCACATTCCTAACGTGCTTCCCAACGGGGATGCTTCGCCAGCCAGGTCCTCTCTGGTGTGTACACCAGCAGGACACCGATCCAGTCACAGCCATATAGCTGTCCACACTGAAGAACATGTCCTATGACAGCCTGAATCAAATGGTTAGTTTAATAGATAAAATCAGCAGTCCAGGACTACTTCAGCCTTTAATGCCTTTCATTCATAAAAATTATGAAAGCTAGACTGAACCATCGGAAACATTTAGCTCAGACACTGGATTGAGAGTCAGGAACCCTTAATCCTGTCTGAATCCAAGACAGCCATACCTTAGTATACTGCCCAAACTAAGGCGTTTAATAAATACAAATACTCTGTTTCTTTTTGATTAGTGTGATTAGAACTGAGCAACGGCACTTAAGGAATCTGGAAGATAGACTGGATAGATTTCTGATTCATCCCAAGACCTCAAAGACAACACCTGGGTACCAAATTTCTTTATTTGAAGGAATGGTACAAATCAAAGAACTTAAGTGGATGTTTTGGTACAACTTATAGAAAAGGTAAAGGAAACCCCAACATGCATGCACTGCCTTGGTGACCAGGGAAGTCACCCCATGGCTATAGGGAAATTAGCCTGAGGCTTAGCTTTCATTATCACTGTCTCCCAGGGTGTGCTTGTCAAAGAGATACTCTGCCAAGCCAGATTCGGGTGCTCCCATCTTGCGCAAGTTGGTCACGTGGTCACCCAATTCTTTGATGGCTTTCACCTGCTCATTCAGGTAATGTGTCTCAATGAAGTCACACAACTACAAAACAATGGGCAAGACAGTTAGTGGACAGCTTTCCCAATCCCTAAGGCAAATGATTTCCTCTATTTCCTGGGTTTCCAGTACTCACATGGGGGTCATTTTTGTCAGTGGCCAGTTTGTGCAGTTCCAGTAGTGACTGATTCACATTTTTTTCCAAATGTAAAGCACACTCCATTGCATTCAGCCCGCTCTCCCAGTCGTCATAGTCTGGTTTCTGAACGAGGAGGATAGGTTAATGCATCTCTACCAACTAACCTACAAATCAGCAAGCCCGTCATCTCTAACCACCACGCTTTGGCAAAAGGGACATTACTATTTGCCTAATTTAGTTTAGATGGTAAGCCTAAAAAAACCACGAAAGGCAAAAGCCCAGTGTATCATCACTTTATAAGGGCAACTGCTAGTTTAAGTGATTTCTGATACCCAAACACGGCTAGATGATGAAGTATGACACCCCTAGGATCTTTTGTTCACCTTAATATCCTGAAGGAAGATTCGGCCACCTCGTTGGTTCTGCAGCTTCATCAGTTTCTCGGCATGTTCCCTTTCCTCATGAGATTGGTGAAGAAAGTATTTGGCAAAGTTCTTCAAAGCCACATCATCGCGGTCAAAGTAGTAAGACTGAAAGGAGAACACTGAATGTGTTATATTAGGGATCCCCAAAGACAGGTAGCTGTGATGGTCTACACTGAGGCAAGACGGTCTAGATAGTCAGCCTAGGCTTCCTTTCTCAAGGCGCAGCATGAAGGGGTCAGTGCCCAAGGAAACTGGGGGCAGATGAGCTACTGGATTGAACCCAACAGTAATCTTTCTATTCTAATAGAAAACTGAAACTTGATCCTTCAAAGTTTACTTCAAGGACTTCAAGGAACCTTTAGATTATGGGCATTGCCTGGGGCAATGTCTTAAGGATCTGTATTAGTGCACAGAAAACTTTCATTGTCTGATGAGAGGGTGCTGGGGTACTGATCCTGCACTTAGTCCTTTTCTCCTCCCTGTTCCTGGATTAACCATCTTAAACCATGGTTAAAACAAAGAGCTCAGGAGCCTGCCAGCTGTACCGCGATTTATTTATAAAATTAA